AAAAAAAAAAAAACACAAAGTGAGGGCGCTTTTATATACAAGCATAAAATTTATGCAAACCGCTGCTCAAATACAACACTTTCCCCAAATTAATTTAGTCTCTGTAAAATAAATTTTATTTTTGCCACAAAAATAGGTATCATTTTTTAGATTTCTCTTTGCAAACTGGTCCTTCAGTTTTCTGATATACTTTTCCTTGGCTTATTTTGATACTTGATCCAGTAGAAAGTTGCTTGCCTTTTCCAAATCTTGATCATATCGGTTCAGAGCATCCTTGGCTTCCTTTTCGCCAAAACCCATTTTTATTAAGTCCTGTACTTTATCTCCTACTGGTATTGTAGTCTGTGCAGTGGGAGGTGATTTGGGTGCCTTTTGTTTTCCAAAATCATCAGCAAAGTTTGAAAACGAATCGTCAAATCCGGTTACATGTTGAGTCACAGGAACTGTATTATTGGCGGAAGTGCTCGGAACTCCAAAGATAGAATCCCAATCATCATTTACCTTTGGTTCTTCAGGCTTCTTTTGTTCAGACTTGAAAGGTTCAAACGCAGCAGCCCAGTCATCGTTGGGGCTGGCCACGGCTGGTTTGATATTGTGAGCAGATTTGTTCGTCTCAAAGACGCTAAATGCATCATCAAAGTCGGCAAATTGATCATCCTTGGCTACAATCTTTGCTTCAGGAAGCTTTCCGGAAAAGGCAGCTTCAAAATCGTCTTCGTCATTTTGCTCTTCTTTAGCATCTGCAATCTTCTCCAATGCGGTTGAAGAAGACGATGGGGCAATAGCAGGTGGAGGTGGAGGGGGAGCACGTTGTTTCTTTGCTCCGACAGTAGAGGACGCTATAGAACTTATGGATGTTTGTCTGTGATGTCTGCTTTGAGGAGGGGGAGGGGGAGGAGGACCTCGAGAGGACTTGGTAGTGACCGATGTAGGACTTGTGGGCCACTGGGCAGGATCAAACGCATGAGCGGGAGTATCTGCTGCAGGTGTGCTGATACTCATAGTGCCAAAGATAGCGTCAAAGTCGTCTTGGGAAGTTGATGCGTTGTTTTGAGGGCTTTCGAAGGTATTACTTTTTGTTATAGATTCTGCAAACTCGTCAAATGGAGAGGTCACATGTTTATCAGAAGTTTGTACTGAGGGACTACCAAAGAGATTGTCTAAAGCTGGGGTTGAAATAACAGATGGTGTGGGTTGAGGGGGTGGTTCTTTCTGCTCTTCTACGCTTTCATCATCGCTAGAGTCTTCTATCTCATTGGTCAAACCAGCAGCTACCTTATAATCTTGCAAATTACGCTCTGCCAGTGCTCTATCCTGCTCGGCCGCTGTCACCTGCCGTCTGTTGATATCCAGCATCATGCCTTGCTGCTTTGATTGTGCACGCAGTTTATCTAATTCAGCATTGACTCTTCTTGTTTCTTCCTGAATTTCAAATATGCGTCGTTTAAGACTTTCTGTTTCCGCACGTCCATTCTCCAATGTCTGATTAACTTGCGCTGTCTCATTTTGAACGGCAACTAGCTGTTGCTGAGCAGCATTGTATTCAGAGCGAACTCTATCCCATTCAGCCTCTTCTCGTCGTACTTGCTCTTGTAATTCATTGAGTTCCTTTACCACATTCTCATGCTCTGCCTTTACATCCACCATCTGGGCTTCCAGATGTTTTCTTTGCTGGGCCAACTGTTCCAGAGCGTTCTCGGTGGATGTCTTTTGGTTCTTCAAACTTGCTGTCTGTGAAGACATGGAGGTAATCTGATTCTGGAGTAGGTTCACTTGATTCGTTTCTGTCGCCACCTGATCATTCCCAAAATCACCAAGTAAATCATTGTTTGTATCAAGAACCGAAGCAACTGGCGCTGGAGATGCAGCTACAAAGGCAGGAGATGCAAATACGTTGTTCTGTTGTCTTTGGCTAGGTGGTATCAATGTTCTCGGTAGAGCTTGCGGTAATGCTCCTCCACGCAGTCGTTTATGAATGAGATGCATAGCAACCGCAAATTCATCACGGGATAAGCTGCCACGTTGTTGTGTGTCTGATAGATCCCAAATATGGGCCAATTCAGACTCTGGAAGCCTTGAATTTTTAAAAAACTCAACAGCTTCTTTACCCTGAATATAACCTGAATGAGCCGAGTCGATCTTGTCAAAGTAAGCGTTGAATTGCTGTCTTTCCTGTGGAGTCACATCCCAATCGAGATCAATATTCCCCATGGCAGGAGGAGCACCAAAGGCTAAACTGCCCAAAGAGTCAATTGTTCTCGCTCGCTGAGGTGGTGTCATGATACTGGCCTGGCGTGTTATCGCTGGAGAGGCCATGTTGCGAACAAGAGGTGACTGAGCCGCGGAACCGGTAGCAGATTGGAATACGGTAGGTGGTAATTTATCCGGTAATGCTTTTAAGGTGCCATCCATAAGTTTAGCAATATAATGCATAGCGATAATGAATTCTGCTTCATTTAAAGTGCCTGATTGACGAACGTCAGCCAAATTCCTATTACAAACCAACGTTTTGTTCAGTCAATGGATAGCTGGATTCAATAATGCGTGGTTACCATATCTGACTTAGCGTGTCCACAGGTAACTTTGATTTCAAAAAGACGTTTCTAGCTGTCTCTGCATCCATGATACCATTCACGGGTTGATGCACTCTAAAGATACTGGCGTATTTTTCACGTTCTGCAGCTGTAATGGGTATGTCAAGAGTACTGTTATTGGCAATCATGGGGCTGGGCGCAACTACGCCATCAAACTGTGGGAGAGGTACACCTTTTTAGAAAAAAATGAGTAAGAAATGCTTGGCATTCGGCCATGGCACTTACGAGTTGCCAAAACGGGTTCTACAGCCTCCTTCCCATGTTGAGCACATGCGATCAGTTTTAAGGCTATTGCAAAGGTCTCTGGTGTCAAATAGCCTACTTTATCTCTATCTGCAGCTTCCCAGATCTGAATGAACTGATGAGCATTTTAAAATATATAAAAATTATTTTATACACAATACCTCTGAAAGTATCTCAGTAGGTACACCTGAGGTAGCAAAAAAGCGAACAGCTTCAGCGCCTGTCACAATGCCCTCCTGTGTCTTGCTGACAGTCTGAAATAAATGTGAATATAATCTTGTTTCTTGTGGTGTTAATAATGATTCCCAAGACATGTTGGTAACGGTAATAAAAAGAAAGAAAGGAAAAAAAGAAAAGAAAAGGTATATAAATAAAGAACTGGCTCAAGCACAGTTGACTTTTAGGGAAAACAAGCATAAAACAATAGGCTGAATTTGATTGGACAGTAGATTAATTGCCATGGCACTCTTTTTTTAGGAAAATACATTTTTCATATTTTTATTTTTATTGCTTAAGCAGCGATGTAAGCTTGTCAGTCAACTGTTCAACTTCGAGTTCATTTACACGAGAAGCAAAGTTCTTTCCTGGCTCAGGTCCCTTGGGTTGGCGTATAGGATGAAAGGTGATAGTGTCTGAGGAAGCGTCATCAGCTGTAGTGCTTGTGCTCCTATAGGAGAGAATGTGTTAGTACTACACTTTATGCATAAACAAAATTCACACTTTACATCATTGATTTCCTATAACTGCCCTTTTCTGGACTATTGTTACTGTTTGCATTTCCGTTGTTTAATCTTTCACGACTTGGGCTTTGTCTTAAGTTGGGTCGAGAACTCTTTTGGTGAAGCTAACAATAAAATTAGTCAATGTAAAGAAGAACAAAAAGCCGACTCTTACTCTCATGATAGGAGCAGGCGTATTGCCTCTCTTTTCAATAATCACTTGTCGATCAGGTCCAAATCCTTCAGAATAATGAGCCAAGCCAAGCCTATCAGCAATCAAGTGTGCATCTCGGCGTTCTTTGGCAGAGAATGATTTTGGTAAAGCAAGTTCTGTGCTATTGGGGTCATTGCGGAAAAGTAAGAGATAACTGTATAATTCAAGTACATTAGGGTCGTTCAAGTCAAGGGCATCTAAAGACAGAAATATGAGTTATGAAACAGTAAGGGGGATCGTGGCTTACCTTCATCAGAAGCGACTACTGTGCCACTAGCAGTAGCAGTAGTAGGTGATGTAGGTAATTTTCGCTCGCTTAATAAGGGTGAGCTTGGTTGTGATGATTCTCTTTCCTTTTTCTTGTTGATATCAGCTTCTGTCAACACCTTTTTATATTCTACTCGTAATTTACGGCCACCAATTTCAAGGCCATTCACCGTATTCACTACCATATCTGTTTCCTCGGGTGTACGATAGTTGGCAAAGGCAAGGCCGCGGAAAATACCATTATCAAAATGATAGTTAAAGGCATATGCTTCGGGAACACCAAGTGATTTCTAAAGTATGATGAGTTAAACATCACATTAAACCCTTGCCACTTACAAGTTTTTCTAAAAGAGCATCCTTCTTTACTGAAAATGGGATGTTTTTGATAACAATAGCAGTAGGGATAATATCATCCGAATCTGCAGGATTAACAGGAGTGGGTGAGACAGGTCGTGAAGCAGGACGAGAAGGTGGTCGAGATGAAGGGCGGGAAGAGGGTCTAGAGTTGGGTGCACTTCCAATATCCTGTTTTCAAAGGGTTAAATATAAACAATAGCCAAATAAAGATAAACAAGTCACCTTATTTCTATACACTCGTCTAAATGAAGAAGAACGGGAACGAGACATGATATTTTCAGACATGAGAGGGGTGGACATTATGTAAATAGTATTTACAAAAGGAAATAATTATAAAAGGGCGGAGAAGAAGGGGAATAAGAGGAAGGAAAAAAAAGAGAGGATAGGGGAGAAGAAGGGGGAGGGTAAGTAAAAGAAAAAAAAAAAAAAAGAAAAAAAAAAAGAGAAAGGGGAGGAAGAGAAGTTTGTAATGAAAAAGAGTGTGGGTTTAAGAAAGAAAAAGAGAAAAAAATATTGCACACTTCTAATTTCACTTCCGCACGATTTCAGCTGTGTACAACTTTAACTACATGTTGTTCTTAATAAACACTTGACAAGTTGAGTATTGTTCGTATTTCCCCCTTCAAGACGTCTATTATAAAAATTTTCTAACAAGACTAATAACTAAATATACTTTTACATTGGATCTGATTTGTCACCTTATTGGAGTTTTAATCATCTGTTACATGAAACTGCAAATTGAGAGCTGTATTAAATATTTGCATATGATTGGGTTAAAGCCTCTCATTTTATTACAGTATTTCCGTATCGAATTGTCGCGAATACTACAGTTGACTTCAGTCGAACTTCAGATGTGGTATAAGCTCTTCAAGCCGCGCTTTTTATTTGAAAATATATAAAAAACAAAAAAAGTGTAGACTATCTCTTTTAACCTTTTTCCAAACTAAGCATTCTATTTTTTCTTTTTCTTTTTTTTTGTATTTTTTGTATAAAGGGTGGGCAACTTAAAGATACATAAAAAATCTTTCATACCATCTGGGCTGGGTGATCACATCCTCTGTCCTCCTTTTGTCAACTGTAGTATTGCTTGACATACCTAACCCAATTCCAGTTGACTTCAGTCGAACTTCGGATGTGGTATGATTTTTAGGACAAAAAGAAAAGTGGACTCTGTAATCCTCTTGCTGTCAGCTTGCTGGTGAGGCGGTTTATAGTAGAACCGTTCAAATGTGTTGGCAGACAGGCTCCAATTAGCATGCTTCTTTATCTTATCTATCTCGTTGCCTACTTCTGTGTGCATATGTCATCTGTCAAAGGAGTATACTCCCGTTGTTTCAATAATGAGGAATAAGGCGAGGTATCAAACAAGTTGCTGAGTTCAGCATGAGCTTGTGATGAGCAGTTTATACATAATGAATTAGTAGCACTGTCATCTTCATATGGTCTTTTCATGGTTGGAACAGATTTGATAGAATCATGTTTTGTTACAAGGTTATTTACAATAGTATCATGAGCGAGTGCATTTTCCTCATTTCCATGATTGTTCAATATTGCAAAAGGTTTTAGTGACAAAGTATCCACAATGAACATTGTTTTGTTCTTGCCAATTCAGATGTCAATTTCCTTAGAAATTTTATCTTTATCGACGAATCTGGTTTCCACGTTAATTTGAAGCGTACTGGTGCTTGGGGACCTAAGGGAAAAACACCTGTAATAGAAGTTGAGAATTCCTAAACTGTGTCTCATACCATTTTAGGGGCTATTTCTGTCTATAATGTGATTCATACTAGCGTAAGAATGCCTAGTCTTCCCACCTCTCAGCTTGTGCCTGTCTTAGTACGCAAAAAAAGAAAGGCTGATACCGGAGTAGCAAAGAAACAGCAAAAACCAAAGGGTACTACTGCCGACCATTTTTATGTTTTTATAAAAGAAACTCTAGATGTCATGAATCAATTTCAATATTTAAAAGAGGCATATTTAATTATGGACAACGCCTCTCTATTCATAAAAGACCTGACATAACTGATCTGATCACAAAAAGGGGCTATAGTTATATTTTCTTACCCCCATACTCGCCAGAGCTCAATCCGATCGAGCAATTTTGGTCTGTAACAAAGATTAAGATCAGAATAGTTAAAATGCTTAATGGAGAAACCTTGCAAGATCGGATTACAGAAGCTTACAGCCAAGTTCCTCAAAGCCATCTTTTGTAGTATTATCAAACATTCTGATAATCGCTTATACGACTATTTAAATAAAAAGCATATTTAATCTTTTTTTTTTTTTTTTTTTTTTTTT